AGTGCACCTTCGCACGTCTGCCACATCATCAGTATGCTGCCGTCCCTGGAACAAGTAGCACTGGAAACTCTGCGAGATCACCACACTTCAAGCAGCACAGAAAACGTGGAGTGGACTCCCGTCTTCTTCGGCCTCTACAACGTTTCTCCCCTTCCTTGGCAGTCAAAATAGAGCTTTTTAATGCACATTTCAAATAAATCATCCTTTATTCAAAACCACATTTCAGAGGGCATTGACTTTATGTGCCTAACTGAAACTTGGCACCAGTCAGGCGTCTTCTCTGCCCTAAATGAAGTCTGTCCTCCTGGTTACAGCTACCTTGAGAAAGCCTGCAGCTCTGGATTTCGGGGTGGCTGTGTAGCTGTCTTTTTTTCGAAATTCATTTGAACTGTCCCCCCCTGCCCCTGCCTGAGCTGTCCCCATTTGAATGCCTTGCATTTAAATGTAAACCCCCTTTCACCATGACAATTCTTCTCATTTACCAGCCACTCAAACCAAACACAGCCTTCATCTCAGAGATGCATGACCTTCTCTCTTCACTCTGCACAACCTCTGCCAACATTATAATACTATCCAGATATAAATATCCACGTCGACAACCCCTTCTGCCACCCTGCAGCTGAGCAGCTGGACTGTCTCAATTTAACTCAACATGTTGATGTCCCCACTCACACCAGGGGGCACACGCTTGATCTTGTCCTCACTCACTCTGCACCCATTAGAAACATATTACCGTATGATTTGGGTGTGTCTGACCACAAGGCTGTCTCAATGGAGCTGCCTTTCCAGTCTGCTCTCACCAAACCCAAGCGCCAGATTCACTTCAGAAATATAAAAAACATCAACCCAGATTCACTAACAATGGACCTTCAACATCTCTCCTCTGCTAACTTTTCATCAACCAGTGAAGCATTGGACTTCTACAACAAATCCCTGAACAGTCTCCTGGATCTCCAAGCCCCTGTCAAAACCAGAACAGTCTCGTTCCCACGCTCAGCCCCCTGGTACACCTCCGAGCTGCGGAAAAGTAAGGCGACTGGTCGTGTCCTTGAACGGCGTTTCAGGACTCACTGCATAGGCTAGCCTATCGAGAACACCAAAAAGCCTACTCAAAGTCCCTCAGAAATGCCCGGTCACAGTTCTACTCAAATATAATAAACAACTGGCAACTCAAAGCATAAACCATCTCTCAAATCCACAAACTCCCTCCCTCTCAGACACCACAGTTGAGCGGTGCAATGATTTCACAAGCCACAGCCAGGGATCACCCAGCCTTTCTGTTGCCTCTCTGCAATTACGAAACGAGAGACTGAGGAGATCATCAAAAAAATGAAACCTTCCAACAGCCCTGGTCAAATCTAACATCTGCTATAAGTCCCCTCATCACCAAAGTCATAAATCACTCCCTACAGGCTGGCCATGTTCCATCTGCCTTGAAAACTGTTGTCATATCACCACTTCTCAAAAAACCCACCCTTAACCCAGACGTCTTTGCCAACTACAGGCCCATTTCCAACCTTCTGTTTATTTCCAAAGTGCTGGAAAAAGCAGTTGCCACTCAACTTCACGACCATCTACAATACAACAAACTGTTTGAGAAATTTCAGTCTTGTTTCCGCTCTGCCCACAGTACAAAAACAGCTCTGGTCAGGGTCACAAATGACATGCTGATGGCAGCTGACGCTGGCTCTCCATCTCTCCTCGTTCTCCTCGACCTGACAACAGCATTTGACATCGTCGATCACAACATCCTCCTCATCCGCCTTCACTCTACCATCGGTCTTTCTGACTCTGCCCTAGACTGGTTCCGTTCATAATTCTCTGGAAGAATCGAGCATGCTTCCCTAGGAAACAAAAAATCCCGGACTCACCTTATCACCTGCGGTGTCCCCCAAGGATCAGTCTTCAGCCCCACCCTGTTCTACATGCTACCCCTTGGCAGCGTCATCAGCTGACACTCAAATCTACCTAAAAATTAATCAAACCCCCTCTGCACCCCTGCTATCATCGATGCTGACCACCTGCCTGGAGGATATAGAGGCGTGGATGATGCACAGCTTTCTCAAATTGGACAGCTCCAAAACAGAAGCAATTCTACTGGGCACCCCACATGAGATCAGGTCATGCCCCATAACCACCAACACCTTTTCTGGCCAAGTCATCCACCTCTCTCCAACTGTCACAAATCTCAGCATCAAAATGGACCCTCAACTGAACTTTGAAGCCCTCATTAAACATCTGCACAAAAACTCATTCAACCACCTCAGAAACATTGCCAAACTCCGTCCCAAACTCTCCCTGCCAAATGCTGAGAAACTCGTCCTCCTCCAGGCTGGACTACTGCAACACACTCCTCATCGGGATCCCTAGCAAGAGCCACCAGAAGCTTCAATATGCTCAGAACATGATCCTCCACAAGATCTCCACACCATGGGAGACCGGGTCTTCTGCTGTACTGCTGTCTGTGGAACACTCTCCCCAAGCAGCTGAGGGCACAGTCTGCGGACACTTTTAAAAGGGCTCTAAAAACCCACCTTTTTAACAAAGCCTTCTGCTTGTGCTTTTAGTTCCCTTAGTTGCTTGGTTGATGAAATTTGTTTTTATTTCTATTTTTTTTTTCTGTAGCACTTGGACATTTTTTTTGCTAAAATGTAAAGTGCGTTATAAATTAAATGTATTATTATTATTATTATTATTATTATTATTATTATTATTACGCTTCTCAGAATGATACGACTTGTATTTCATATCAATGAGCGAATCTTCATACTTCATTTTTTGGATCAACAACCAATAAAAATATGTTCAGTCACCCAAGTGTACTATGTTTATAGTGTACTATAAACTCAAGAAACATTGACTGTGTACCAGTGGTTCTTCACTGGCATGGTTTTGGGACCCACCACCAGCCCTAAATGACCAGCCGCGACCCAAATTGGTGGAAATTTTCAACTGCTCAAATTATTTAATGAACAAGTATGCCAAAGTATGTACAAAGTATGCCAATTTAAAAACAACCAAACAATGATTTAATGGTCAACCAAAATAACCAGCAGGTGGCAGCTCTGAAGAGCAAAAAAATATATATCTTTCTCTAACTTTCAATTTAACTGTAGCTGGGATAACCCTACATCAGTAGATACAAAGTAAACACCCTTGAATTAATGAAGATTAACACAGAGATTTGTTTGTCAGATTGTTAAAAAATATTATACCCTCTCCCTTGCATGGACACATTTAATGTGTTCAACAGTTCGTAACACATTAGTAAGGTATGCAACTTGCGCAAGCCACACACTTTCGCTAAACAGGTCAGCAAGTGGTGAGTTGTTCTCGGAAAGAAAGGCTCCGATTTCTGTCCTTAGTTTATAGAAACGTGAGAGTACCTTTCCACTCGAAACAAGCGTACTTCAACATGAAACAACACCTGCACATGGTCCCTGCCCAGGTCTTGGCACAGTTTTTGAAAGTTCTTTGCGCTCCGTTTGATGTAGTTCATCACTTTTATGGCATCTTTCAATGTTTCATGAAGCACTGGTACCATGTCCTTTAGTACAAGGGCCTCTCTGTGCAAAAAACTGTGGTTCCAAGTTGCATCTGGTGCCTTTTCAAGTACTCTTCACCACCCCAAGTGTTTTCCATTCATGGAGGCAGCACCATCATTAGTGACACCGACGTACATAAACCAGCTAAGGCCCACTGAACTCAAATACAAGTCCACAGAGCTAAAAATATCCTCTGCAGTTGTAGTTGTAAAGAGCTATTTTGCAAAGACATTGCTCCTGCAAGTCCCCCACACACATGCCTCTCATAAATGAGTAAAACTGCGTTGTTTGTTATGTCCGTAGATTTGTCTATTTACTTGCTTTAATGCTGAGGTGATCTGGCACTACTACCACCGGTCACCTAGCCACCATCATCGGACTGTGTTGTCCCCACAACCACCGCTATCCTCATACATGCACGGCCTGCTCCGACCTCCACCTCAGCAGAAAGGAAGTGTGGACAACAGGAACATGAGGAATACAAAGGAGAAATCCTTCTTTCATATGCTCTTTTGTAAAGCGTCTCGAGATAACACTTTATGTATTGGTGCTATACAATTAATGATTGATTGATTAATGAAAGTTGTCGTCTGATGTTTGAGGTCATCCAACATGTCTTCAATGCGCCTACTAACAGTATGATTCGAAAGTGGTAAGGTTTTCAGTTTATTTGCTGCAGATTGATCCAACTCATCTCTGATCATGTCCATGGCTGCAGGTAAGATAAGGTTGTCTGTAATAGTGGGAGGCTTCTTGGACTTAGCAATACAATGTGCTACCTGGAAATATGCATGGAGGGCCTTCTCTTGCTCATACACAGAGAAGCGAGGCACTTTTGTGATGTACTCAGAACCTGGAGACGTCATTGAAGTAGTCAACTGTTTTCTCTTTGTAAGTGTGAGTGTTTTGTTTCTAAATGATGTTTCAGTTGTGGCGGCTTCATGCTTTCATGTGCCGGCATTTTTCTACACAACAAATTGAGGTTTTTGTCCACAATGTAAGAAAATCCAGATTTCATGTACTCAATGTCATTCTTGCATTTCACCATGACAAATTAGCAACAGGGTAATGAGAAAACAAAAAGTTTGCAGCTCTTCTTCGATGTTGTGTAATGGCCGTCATTAACTACCATAAGTGCACATTAGTGCTACCTAATGTGTTGGAGTGGGAATTCTCTGATCTACCGCTGCAAAAGACCCTTCACATTAAAAGCGATTGCACATTTAGACCTTTTTTTATGGGAAACGGCCACTGAAAACGGCTCTGCGACCGACTTTTGGGTCGGGACCCATCAGTTGAGAATCACTGCTGTAAACACTAGAGCACACACATATGCCAAAGCAATGATATCATGTTGTTAGCTTAAAAATACAGTTAATGCAAGTTTTGGTTCTGAATCAGAGTATTCTTACTGCTCAACATCAATCTCTTGTCTTGTGTTTCTGATATTTACAGCTTGCAAAAGCTCGGGTGACAGACAGTATCACCATCGTCTTCCCTCCGTCTCTGTCAGGACCAGGAGGTGGTAAACATGACACAAAGGAAAGAAGAACCTGCATAAATCAGGAACATCGGTGAATGTGTGTTTATGCAATCAGTCACATGCAGGACGCTCCAAATCTCTTTATTCTCTGTAAATATACTTTCTATCTCTGTAAAGCTACATAAGGAATGACGAGGAGACAGAAGAAGGAGCTGGATTGTCTCTGAGGCTTTGTGCCTGTAAGAACATCAGACTGAAAGTGTAATGGAGGGAACGCTTTCAGCAAATCTTTATTCTAAATGAACTGTTCTTTCTTCTCTCATGCAAAATTAAAAGCTTCAAGCATTGACAAAGTTGTCTGTGTTATGTGTCATTTATCAATCAGAGATTTTCTGAAGGTGTGGAAGCTGTTTTTGAGAGTTTTAATCAGCATCAAAACCATCCTCACATCTTAATCCATTCAGAACAAAGAGAAATGTACAAGAGAATTTCAGTTTTGACTTTTAGTCGGACCATTATTCACTGAAGAAAATTCAAATCTTTGTTTCAAGACATACTGTGTTTGTGTTTAACTCAAAACATCCTGACTCCCTGCTCATCATTCTGGGGGATTTTAATAGAGCAAATCTGTTCCCCGGTAGTCTTTTTTTTTGTTTTACATAGATTTTTATTGATTTTTTCACCATTACAAAGATCATTTAACACCCTAGTGCTCTTACATTTGCAGCAGTAAAAATAGGAATAAATAGAATAAATTACAAACAGCCATCACCATCTTATGTAACAGAAGCAGACATACATAAGAATGGAAAGCACAAACTTGCAAGGCCCATGACTGTCACTTCATCTTTCGACTAAAACTCTACTAAAGGTCCTTGTCTCCTTGTATCTTTTTGTCACCTGTTCTTATCTACCACCCACCTTACTCTTCCTCCCGCCTTGGAGGTAAGAAAAAGATAAAAAAAAGGAAATTCCACTAATTCAGCTAGGGGCTAATGGGATCACCCCAGTCCAAAGCATACCTGCCCTTCTGTATAATGTTCCTAAGGGATGGGGGTAGATATAATAAGAAGGTGGACAATGTTCTTTCGAATAGACCCTCATCCCCCTTTATATATGCCGTCAATCTTTCTAAGGGCAAGACTCTATGGAACCACTGGGTAACTGAGCGAGGCCTATCATTTACCCACTGCTTCAGAATACATCTCCTGGCCAGCAGTAGGAGTTTGTCACATAGCATGAAATTGTAAGTTCAGTATGAAGAGACCTGGGTAATTGGGAATCGTCAATGAAAGAATCTTAACTAGTTCGAGTGCTGTTACTCCAAAATTTTGAGATCTCTGAGCATGTCCAGAAATTGTGAATGTATGTCCCGACCTCTGTCTTGCACTTAATGCAGAGAGGAGTTGTCTGATTATTCATTTTATTAAGTATATAAAGCGTTATATGGGATCTGTGGAGCATTTTATACTGAGTTTCTCTCATTCAGTTACATATGAAAGTGGTTTTGGTAGAAGCTATCGCTTCTTGCCAGTCATCCTCAATATAGTTATTTCCTAGATCACGCTCCCATTTTTGTATGACCGGACCTATGTCAGAGGGATCCAAGGAGTTAAACAGCGAGTAGGAATGTGAAATAAAATGTTTTGTATCTCTCCGCTTTAATAAAAATAAATCTGTCACTAAAGCGGGGAGTGCCCGAGGGGAGATATATTTTTTCATATCTTGCCAGACTCTCATAGTTTTGCGTATTATAGGATTAGCCTTAATAGATAGATAGACAGATACTTTATTGATCCCGAGTGAAATTCAATTTAATTTCAGAGGTTGTATTTTTTCTATCGTGGTTTGTCAGTTTACTTAGTAAAGAGAAGGGAGTAGGATACCATTCATCCATGCTTGTTTCTGAGTTTAAGTGAGACTGCAGCCATTCCCAAATTATGCGGGGTATGGCAGGCCCAATTATAAAACCTCAAATTGGGAAAGGCTAAGCCTCCTTGTTCTCCAGGCAGTTGTAAAGTTTTCATCTTAATCCTGGGCTTTTTATCATGACAAATAAATCTAGAGAATGTCTTTTCAAGGTCCGAAATTTCTCTTCATATCCATAAAGGTAACATTTGTAGAGGATAAAGTAATTTGAAGAGTATGCTCATTTTTATCAAGCTAATCCTACCAATCCAAGAGAGGGGGAGGTGATGACATCTCTCCAGGTCATTTTACATTTACATTTTTAATAGTGGGTGCAAAATTAAGTTTCCAGAGATCTGCTACATTGGGAGACACTTTTATCTCTAGTTAAGTAAAACCTGAGGTGGCCCATCTAAAGGGGAAATTTGCAAATGAGCTTGTACTGCCAAAATGTCCAAGTGGCATAGCTTCAGACTTCATGTGATTTAAACCTGATATTAAACCAAACTCATTTATAATTGAGAGTAACTGGGACCGAGGTCTCAGGGCTTGTAAGAAAAAGCAAGATGTCATCTGCATACAATGCTGTCTCTTGTATAGTTCTACTCAAAGAGACACCATGGATATCCTTACTGCCCCTAATACAGTTTGAGAGTGGCTCCAGCGTGAGGGCAAAAAGAAGGGGAGACAATGGGAAGCCCTGCCTAGTTCCTCTATAAAGCTTAGACTACCCCCGGTAGTCCAAGCGTATAGCAGCAAAACGCTCCAAATATTAACTTTATTGTGTTTCTGTGTTCTCGCTGGTCGCTCCTCTTGTTTGTCTGAGGGCAGCCGAGTCAAACGCCACTCTACGCTCGTGAAAATCTTGTGAACCACAGTGCATGATGGGATATATTGCTCGGAAAGTGACCATCGCGCTTACACTACTTTTCACTTCTCACTCAGAATTCTGACAGCACTACAAAATGGCTTGTTCACTATATAGTTGATAGGGAGTGATTTCGGACACAGCCATATTCTCTTCCTCAGGTCAGTATCATCCGGTCGTTGCGACTACGGTCAACACGGAGGATAGTAGCAGAGAGAACTCCCATGATTCCCCTCCAGCCTCGACGTCATCTTTTATTATTGTAGTATTGATAGAGAGCCACTGGTGGTGGAATCTACATATTGTATCTTTAAGTCTGACTTTTTAATCCATAAGAAGGCCACGTCCCCTAATTCTACATCACTTTAAGCCTCAATAGAAGTAACCAGGGTCCCGTTTCTGAAAGCAGGTTCAACAAACCCTCAGTCTGACTCTGAGCTCTGAGTGGATTTACTCTCAGGGGGGAAACTCTGAGTTTCTGGTTCTAAATCAGCTGAGTTGAGTTTGTTAAATGAACTCTAGGTAGGTTCACTCCATGACGATAAAAAGCCAACATTAATGGAGCCCCGATTCTACGATTCACCATGGCAACAGGAGACAAAAAAGAGATCCTCGTACTTTAACCATCACGAAATATCTAGGCTTCATCTTCATGCGAACAGGTTTTAAGAAGGAAAAAAGTAACACTGCTGCAAGGAGAGAGAAGAGGTGTGGGATAAGACGGCTGCTCGCATCAGCGTGTAATAATGTAAAAAGTAGAAACTGGTGGAATGGTATTAGTCTAAACCTAAAATGTATTTTCATTAAGATGCAATCCAGCAGAAGAAAATCGACTTTAAACAGCTCAAAATGAAATATAACAACAAACTAGGCTCATGGTGGTATTTCACTCATATTTTGACATATTAAACAAAGTAAACTTCATTCAGTGTCTATTTCAGAATCACAATCAGCAACAAGGAATTTTACTTTGGTAAACTGTGATCTCTTTGTACAAAGGTATAACATTAAATATCAACAATAAACAAAGTTTATCCTCCTGAAGTCCAATGACATCTTCACAGTCTTCAGCGGGTTCAGCTCCAGATAGTTCTGACTGCACCAGAGAGCCAGCTGTTCCACCTACCGTCTGTAAGCAGACTCGTCCCCGTCCTGAGCAAGAATACATACACCTGTCAGGTGTTGTGATGGTCGTCCATCAGAATACATACACCTGTCAGGTGTTGTGATGGTTGTCCACCAGAATACATACACTTGTCAGGTGTTGTGATGGTCGTCCCTCAGACTACATACACCTGTCGGGTGTTGTGATGGTCGTCCCTCAGACTGTGACACGATTGGACATGTTGCTGCCTCTCTGCTGCTGACTCTGTGTTCTCCCAGTATGTGCTGCATTTTATTTTGGTACGAGTGACTCAAAGTCTGGGACCTTATGCTTAATCTTGCTGAAGAATACTTCTCGTATGTCTTTATATTTGCTGCAGTGCAGCAGGAAGTGAGCCTCAGTCTCCACCTGTCCATGTGGACAGAGCTGGCACAGTCTGTCCTCTGAGGGCAGCCAGGTGTGTTTGTGTCTACCTGTCTCTATGTTCAGGCTGTGATCACTGAGTCTGTACCTGGTTAATGTCTTTCTCACATTCTCATCAGTCACTGTGCTTAGATAGTCGGCTACAGTCTACTGTCTGTTTAAAGCCAGATAACACTGAAGTTTGCTTTGATTTTTTTTGTGCATGTCCAATAGTTCAAATACCTGTCTGTTTGTCTGTCTATATTCTGATGTTGAGGGATGTCCTGAGGCCTGGTGCTGTTAGACGGTGTGAGCCTCAGGATCAGCTGGCTGAGGGGACTCTACTCCAGGTTCTCCTCTTCTCTCTCTCTCTCTATGTCTTTCTCTCTCTCTCTATGTCTCTCTCTCTCTCTCTCTCTCTCTCTCTCTCTCTCTCTCTTTCTCTCTCTACATACTACATACACACTATACAGTACATCATAATACTGCATGTATCTATCTGTAAATCTCAGTCACTAACCACATAAGACACGTTACGTTACAAACTATAAATTTACAGATTTCTCTGGCTTTGATAAGTGCTGGATATATTTAAGGTAATGTAAGAACTCATTAAAAAACAAACAAAATAACATGGGTTTAGTAATTTTTTAATGAATTAAGATACTTTAAATGCAAACATTGTAATTAAATTCTATTGTACGTTTGAGGTGAGATTCAGATATTGTATTTACAGTCAATGAGTAACAGTCTGAGTCATTTACTCTAAAGCTTCAATAATGAATCTGATGTTTAGGCAATCAAATGTATTTTTAATAACGGAAACATCAAAACTTTGACTTTTCATGTTCAGACTGATACAACTGAAAAACAGACAAACAGCGCACCACTGTGGCCAACAAGGGAATCACAGGTGACACTGACTCTTTGACCTGTTCATTATTTGTGGAAGGTGACATCACTGCAGCTTCAGGTGAAACAGGTGAGCAGAGAGTCCTTCCTCCAGAGAACAGATGGACTGACAGCCAAACACCTCAACGTCCCTCTGAAAACATCAGCACATTGTTTAATTTTTTTAAGCTTTATTTTAACAAACAAATATATGTTTACATTAAAACAAATAAATATATATTTACATTCAAATGTCCTGACCATGACAACATCTTAAAATAAGACAGACATTCAGAAACTGAATAAAACAGTCCATCAGCAGCCTGACATGAAGTATTACAAATACCCCACACACACACACACACACACACACACACACACACACACACACACACACACACACACACACACACCGACCTGGGCTCCGGTCAGCAGCTCATCTCTGTTAGATCTTAACAGATGTTGATAAATGTTATATTTCTGAAACAGACTGGAACAAACATATTTACTTTTTAATTAGTTTTGTCTTTATATTTAAACAAATGTACTGAAATATTTTTCAGAGAGCAGGATCTGTGTAATGACGTCAGCAGCAGGATGCTGCTTTTCTATTTCAAAGTTTCCCCTCTACATCTATTCTACCTCTACTCTACCTCTATTCCACCTCTATTCCACCTCTACTCCACCTCTTTTCCACCTCTACTCCACCTCTACTCCACCTTTTTTCCACCTCTACTCCACGTCTTTTCCACCTCTACTCCACCTCTATTCTACCTCTACTCCACCTCTATTCCACCTCTACTCCACCTCTTTTCCATCTCTACTCTACCTCTATTCTACCTCTACTCCACCTCTATTCCACCTCTACTCCACCTCTTTTCCACCTCTACTCCACCTCTATTCCACCTCTTTTCCACCTTTACTCCACCTCTTTTCCACCTCTATTCCACCTCTACTCTACCTCTACTCCACCTCTATTCCACCTCTACTCTACGTCTACTCTACGTATACTCTACATCTATTCCACCTCATCTCTACCTCACCTCTACTATATAATATATATAATATAGATAGATTTTCTCACCTGTTTTTCAGGTATCCGATGAGAGTGAAGACTTCCTCTGTGTTTAAAACAGAAGTTTCTTCATCTGAAGTGGAACACTGATGAGCTAAAGACTCGATAAACACCATCAAGTTTTGAACTAAATCCATCTGTTTATCTGCAACACAACAAAACAGCAAGAATACACTCAGATTATCCACTCAATGTAATTCAAGAATTATAAACTAATCTTCATGTGTACTTTCACCAAAGGTTTACATTCATAACAACAACTGTTACTGAGATATCAGTTTAACTGTTACTGAGATATCAGTTTAAGTGTTTACTTGAACAAAACAAAGACGATATCAATCAGTCATTATTCGTATAGCGCCAATTCAGAACCAATGCTATCTCGAGACGCTTTACAAAAGAGCATAAGTGGTAATATAGGATATAGAATAAAGTTTTACAACTACAGAGAGGGACAAAGAGGAGGTGGCTCCACGCTCTGTTACAAAGATTAAAATCTTCCTAATTTAGATAAATTAACAATGTCTGAAATATAAATCAGTCAATCAGTTATTAAAATGTACAAAAATAGTTTTGAGAGAATGTTTAACCTGGAAAAAATGAAAAGAATTTAAATCTCTGAGGTGGGACCAAGTCTTTGGTTTGTGAGTCACAAGTAAAGACAGGCAAGTCCTGATTAAAGTCCCAAGTAAAGACAGGCAAGTCCCAAGTCAAGTCCCAAGTAAAGACAGCAAGTCCAGATTCAAGTCCCAAGTAAAGACAGGCAAGTCCAAGATAGGCAAGTCCCAAGTAAAGACAGGCAGTCCTGATTCAAGTCCCAAGTAAAGACAGGCAAGTCCTGATTAAAGTCCCAAGTAAAGACAGGCAAGTCCTGATTCAAGTCCTAAGTAAAGATAGGCAAGTCCCAAGTAAAGACAGGCAAGTCCTGATTCAAGTCCCAAGTAAAGACAGGCAAGTCCTGATTAAAGTCCCAAGTAAAGACAGGCATGTCCAGATTCAAGTCCCAAGTAAAGACAGACAAGTCCTGATTCAAGTCCCAAGTAAAGACAGGCAAGTCCTGATTAAAGTCCCAAGTAAAGACAGGCATGTCCAGATTCAAGTCCAAAGTAAAGACAGGCAAGTCCTGATTCAAGTCCCAAGTAAAGAAAGGCACGTTCTAAGTCAAGTCCCAAGTAAAGACAGGCAAGTCAGGTACCAAGTAAAGACAGACAAGTTCTAAGTCAAGTCCCAATTAAAGACAGGCAAGTCCTAAGTCAAGTCACAAGTAAAGACAGACAAGTCCTAAGCCAAGTCCCAAGTAAAGACAGACAAGTCAAGTCCCAAGTAAAGACAGATAAGTCCTAAGTAAAGTCCCAAGTAAAGACAGACAAGTCCTAAGTCAAGTCCCAAGTAAAGACAGACAAGTCATTTCCCAAATAAAGATAAGAAAATCCTAAGTCAGGTCCCAAGTTAAGACAGGCAAGTCCTAAGTCAAGTCCCAAGTAAAGACAGGCATGTTCTAAGTCAAGTCCCAAGTAGAGACAGACACGTCCTAAGTCAAGTCACAAGTAAAGACAGGCATGTTCTAAGTCAAGTCCCAAGTAAAGACGGACAAGTCCTAAGTAAAGCCAGACAAGTCCTAAGTCAAGTCCCAAGTAAAGACAGGCATGTTCTAAGTCAAGTCCCAAGAAAAGACAGACAAGTCCTAAGTCAAGTCCCAAGTAAAGACAGACAAGTCCTAAGTCAAGTCCCAAGTAAAGACAGAAAAGGCAAGTCCCAGGTAAAGCAAGACAAGTCTTAAGTCAAGTCCCAAGTAAAGACAGACAAGTCCTAAGCAAGTCCTAAGTCAAGTCCCAAGTAAAGTCAGACAAGTCCTAAGTAAAGACAGGAATGTTCTAAGTCAAGTCCCAAGTAAAGACAGGCATGTTCTAAGTCAAGTCCCAAGTAAAGACAGGCATGTTCTAAGTCAAGTCCCAAGTAAAGTCAGACAAGTCCTAAGCAAGTCCTAAGTCAAGTCCCAAGTAAAGTCAGACAAGTCCTAAGTAAAGACAGGCATGTTCTAAGTCAAGTCCCAAGTAAAGACAGGCATGTTCTAAGTCAAGTCCCAAGTAAAGACAGACAAGTCCTAAGCAAGTCCAAAGTAGAGACAGACAAGTCCTAAGTCAAGTCCAAAGTAGAGACAGACAAGTCCTAAGTCAAGTCCCCAAAAAAAACAGGCAAGCCCAAAGTAGAGACAGACAAGTCCTAAGTCAAGTCCAAAGTAGAGACAGACAAGTCCTAAGTCAAGTCCCAAATAAAAACAGGCAAGCCCAAAGAAAAGACGGACAACAATTTTGAATTTTGTTGTTGTTGCAATTGTTCCATTGGATCAGATCACAGGTTTAAGTCACAGATCATTTAATCAGATCAGGAAATTGAGAAATGATAAAAAATGTAGTAGGCCAGGCCTGTCAAGGCCTGTCGTTTAGCGTGCACTGTATCTTCAGTGTTTGGATATAATGCAGCGCTGTTTAACAGTCTGTGTGGAGAAGCTCACAGACTTCAGCTGGCCGTGAGATAATGTTGTGATGAGTTTGTCCACCTTGGAGAGCTCCTAGGGCAGATAGGTAGTGCGTGAAAGACGGCTTCTGGCTGTGGAGGTGAAGACTGGGAGTGTGTGATGAGTTTGTCTGCCTTGGAGAGCTCTTAGGGCAAATAAAAGTGTGTGGAAAACGGCCTCTGGCTGTGGAGGTTAACAGCGGGAATGTATGATGAGTTTGGCTGCTTGGAGAGCTCTTAGGGCGGATAAAAGTGTGTGGAAAACGGCCTCTGGAGGTGAACAGTGGGAGTGTGTGATGAGTGTGTCTGCTTGAAGAGCTCCTAGGGCGGATACATTCTTGATCAGAATCAGAATCAGCTTTATTGGCCAGGTATGCTCACACACACAAGGAATTTGACTTTGGTGAACTAAGCTCTCAGTGTACAAAAGTTATAACATTAAATATCAACGATAAACACAAAATGAGCAAAGAATATGTAAAAGGATAAATGAGAGAATAGTGCAGTGGTGAGTAGTGCAAAAATGCTGAGATGAACATGATAATAAATAAATATAATTATGTAACAAAGGGGTTAATTACATGAGGTAGAGTTTTACGGTGCACAAAGACTGTGCACAGTGATATTAGAATGCAGACACGGGGAGAGTGAACAGAGAAAAGTCTAAATGAACCATTGAGAATAGGCATGATTCTGTCTGTTTTCTGCATAAAGTCCAAGCGAAGCCACGGGTCATTGGTATTCAAGTCCAAGTAGAGTTGTAAGTCCTTTAAGATTTTGTCAAGTCGAGTCCAAAATCATCAAATCTGGGACTCAAGTCTGACTCGAGTCCAAGTCATGTGACTTGAGTCCACACCTCTGATTTAAACAACAGCATTTCATTAAATAAAATACTAATTTAGAATTAGCTTTCTGTGAAGTTTGTTGTTAATGTTTAGAATAATCTGAATAAATGAGTAAGACTCCGCCTACCTCGAATGTTACTGACCATAAGGTGAAGAAGATTCACAACGAAGGACATCTGTCTTTCGCTGAACTTCATCTGTTTCATCCACGAAAATCCACAAATGTAAAAATCCAGCAGAGACGCTTCTTTCAAACACAAGCGATGATTCGTGAAGCCTAAAATATGACTTAACTCCCTGAAAACAACAGAAAGCACCATCAATATCCTCAATTTAAATATGTGTATAATCACAACACTGATATTTATTAGTAAGTAATTAAGTAAAGTTTACTTTATATATGCTTCCTCTGGGTAATATTATGAGGAAACCCCCCATAAATGTTCATTGTTATGCAGATGATACTCAGCTTTACGTATCAATGAAGCCTGATGACACCTATCAGTATTGTAAACTAGAAACGTGCCTTAAGGCGATAGGATCTGGATGACCTGAAATTTTCTGCTACTTCACTCAGAGAAGACTGAAGTTATTATGCTTGTCCCTAAAAACCTCAGAGAGACTTTATCTAATGATATATGACAATGATGTCGGACTGACACATTTTTATTGAGGGGGGCCAGAACCGAGCGTTACATGCGGCTAATGCTACAGCTAACAGGAGGACGTAGGAGAAGCTGTGTTTCCGCGGACTTTGAATTTTTGCACATAGATGTGCCTAAACATGCACAGGACACTTGGAAAACACAATAAAGGGCATATAAAACCAGAAAAAGCATAATATGGGACCTTTAAAACGTGTGCAAACATGATAACACCAGCAAAAAATGTGCTATCTTAAAAGGACATTTTCTTGCCACTGTAACTTATGCTAAATGTTGTGTAGTGCTGTTCTTATAATGGATTATTAGCAGAGTAAAAAAAAAAAAGACATCTCTTTACCTCTGGAATAACATGCTCAGGAGCAGAGATGAGAACCTGTTTTAGTGTTTCAGTGTTCAACTGGAGAAAATTAAGTAACATCAAAGCTTTTATGCACTTCACACAGTCAAGCAAAACAGACAACTTAGAGACATTTGAGGTTTAAAAGACATGCACAACTGAACGTGATCTGCATAACAATGATAGAGCATGTCTTTAAATTTCATATATTTCCCATAACACTGATTATTATTTATATATCATTAGTTCTCTGATAATAAATATACAATAAATTATTCAATGCTATACTTTTATCATAAATAATGTTCATTTATAATATGTTCTTATGGCAAGACCTTCAGGAAATTAATATATTGAATGAAAATTTGAATATACGGAATGAAGTCTGAATATATTGAATGAAACTTTGAATATATTGAATGAAGTCTGAATATATTGAATGAAGTCTGAATATATTGAATGAAACTTTGAATATATTGAATGAAACTGAATATATCCAAATCCACCAGTTTCATTGTTGTCATCAAAAATTTGCTAAAATATTGAATGGAAGTCCGTAGTGTTATTTCAGCTTACATCTCAGTAAGAGACTAAAACATTCCCGAAAGCTGGATGCACAAGGTACGCTCAGCAATGTTTTGTTGAGTATTACTACTCATAAACAGTAAAAGTGTTCCAAAAATGAATGATCTTCAAGGTGATACATTCCACATTATTCATATCATTTTGAGTATGAACAGCTGCTTCAAAAAAGTTTTTAAGTTCAGCAAAGTATTAGTATATTTCAGCTGATGTCATTTTGCAAAACCAGCAAATTCAGCAAATTTTTGATGACAACAATGAAACTGGTGGATTTGGAGAATTGAAATCAGCTTCCATTCCATATATTCAGACTTCATTCAATATATTCAAAGTTTCATTCAATATATATTCAGACTTCATTCAATATATATTCAGACTTCATTCAATATATTCAAAGTTTCATTCAATATATATTCAGACTTCATTTAATATATTCAAAGTTTCATTCCATATATTCAGACTTCATTCAATATATTCAAAGTTTAATTCAATATATTCAGACTTCATTCAATATATTCAAAGTTTAATTCAATATATTCAGACTTCATTCAATATATTCAAAGTTTCATTCAATATATTCAGACTTCATTCAATATATTCAAAGTTTCAATCAATATATTCAGACTTCATTCTTTTTTACAATAAATTCTTATTAGTTTATAAAACCGATTTTTTTTTTAGATTGAGTATGAAGATGAAATTAATTATTAATGTGAATTCTTCTTTTATACAATATTTAATCCTTTCAAATATTGATGATCTTTAATATTATTATTAGTGTTCAATTATTATTTTTTAACTCTGAATGAAAGAAAATTCATAATGAAAATTAAACACGAGTCACATTAACATTGATCTCTTTAATGTGTATTAGAGATAACGATTGATGACGTCACTTACGTCGTCAGTTGATCGTCAGTTTTGTTCACGAGCTCTGAGATCAGCTGCTGAGTCAGCGGCCCCTACGTCACACGGAGGATTCAGGGAGACATTTCATTCATCTTAAATAAACTTTGATAAACTCGAACAAACTTGAATAAACTTCGACAAACTTCGACAAACCTTGATAGACTTTGATACACTTTGATAATCTTTGATAGACTTTGATACACTTTGATACACTTTGATAATCTTTGACAAACTTTGACAAACTTTGATAAACTTTGATAAACTTTGATAATCTTTGATAAACCTTTATAAACTTTGATAATATTTGATAAACTTTGATAATCTTTGATAAACCTTTATAAACTTTGATAATATTTGATAAACTTTGATAATCTTTGATAATCTTTGACAAACTTTGACAATCTTTGATAAACTTTGATAAACTTCGATAATCTTTGATAAACCTTTATAAACTTTGATAATCTTTGACAAACTTTGACAATGTTTGATAAACTTTGATAAACTTTGATAATCTTTGATAAACCTTTATAAACTTTGATAATCTTTGATAATCTTTGATAAACTTTGATAAACTTTGATAATCTTTGATAAACCTTTATAAACCTTGATAATCTTTGATAATCTTTGATAGACTTTGATACACTTTGATAATCTTTGATAAACTTTGATACACTTTGATAGACTTTGATAATCTTTGATAATCTTTGATAAACTTTGATAGACTTTGATAGACTTTGATAGACTTTGATAGACTTTGATAGACTTTGATAATCTTTGATAGACTTTGATAGACTTTGATAGACTTTGATAATCTTTGATAGACTTTGATAGACTTTGATAGACTTTGATACACTTTGATAATCTTTGACAAATTTTGACAAACTTTGATAAACTTTGATAATCTTTGATAAACTTTGATAAACTTTGATAATCTTTGATAAACCTTTATAAACTTTGATAATCTTTGACAAACTTTGATAATCTTTGATAAACTTTGATAATCTTTGACAAACTTTGATAATCTTTGATAAACTTTTATAAACTTTGATAATCTTTGATAAACCTTTATAAACTTTGATAATCTTTGTTAATCTTTGATAAACTTTGATAATCTTTGATAATCTTTGATAATCTTTGATAAACTCTGATAATCTTTGACACACTTTGATAATCTTTGATACACTTTGATAAACTTTGATAAACTTTGATAATCTTTGATAATCTTTGATACACTTTGATAATCTTTGATAAACTTTGATAATCTTTGATACACTTTGATAATCTTTGATAAACTTTGATAATCTTTGATAAACCTTTATAAACTTTGATAATCTTTTATACACTTTGATAATCTTTGATAAACTTTGATAAACTTTGATAATCTTTGATAATCTTTGATAATATTTGATACACTTTGATAATCTTTGATAAACTTTGATAATCTTTGATACACTTTGATAATCTTTGATAAACTTTGATAATCTTTGATAATCTTTGATAAACTCTGATAAACTTTGATAATCTTTGATAATCTTTGACACACTTTGACAAACTTTTATAAACTCTGATAATCTTTGATAAACTTTGATAATCTTTGATAATCTTTGATAAACCTTTATAAACTTTGATAATCTTTGATAAACCTTTATAAACTTTGATAATCTTTGATAAACCTTTATAAACTTTGATAATCTTTGATAATCTTTGATAAACTTTGATAAACTTTGATAATCTTTGATAATCTTTGATAAACTCTGATAAACTTTGATAATCTTTGATAATCTTTGACACACTTTGACAAACTTTTATAAACTCTGATAATCTTTGATAAACTTTGATAATCTTTGATAATCTTTGATAAACCTTTATAAACTTTGATAATCTTTGATAAACCTTTATAAACTTTGATAATCTTTGATAAACCTTTATAAACTTTGATAATCTTTGATAAACCTTTATAAACTTTGATAAACTTTGATAAACTCTGATAAACTTTGATAATCTCTGATAAACTTTGATAATCTTTGATACACTTTGATAATCTTTGATACACTTTGACACACTTTGACACACTTTGATAATCTTTGATACACTTTCATAAACTTTGATAAACTTTGATAATCTTTGATAAACTTCGATAAACTTTGATAATCTTTGACAAACTTTGATAATCTTTGATAAACTTTTATAAACTTTGATAATCTTTGATAAACTTTTATAAACTTTGATAATCTTTGATAAACCTTTATAAACTTTGATAATCTTTGATAAACTTTGATAATCTTTGATAATCTTTGATAAACTCTGATAATCTTTGACACACTTTGATACACTTTGATAATCTTTGATAATCTTTGATAAACTTTGATAATCTTTGATAATCTTTGATAAACTCTGATAATCTTTGACAAACTTTGATACACTTTGATAATCTTTGATAATCTTTGATACACTTTGATAATCTTTGATAAACCTTTATAAACTTTGATAATCTTTGATAATCTTTGATAAACTTTGATAATCTTTGATAATCTTTGATAAACTCTGATAATCTTTGACACACTTTGATACACTTTGATAATCTTTGATAAACCTTTATAAACTTTGATAATCTTTGACAAACTTTGATAATCTTTGATAAACCTTTATAAACTTTGATAATCTTTGATAATCTGTCCTACTCTTACATAAACATGAATACATTTTGTGGTTTTAAAGTCTCACCTGAAGATTTGTGTCCTTTTCTTCTCGTTTCTTCTCCCGTTCGCTCTCCGCCGCGGACATGTTTGCACTCTGCTGGTCGTCATGGCAACAACTCCGCAACAAAGTGTCCCTTGATGATCACGTGATGATCACGTGACTCCACCCCTTCCTGTCTCAAGTAATATTTACAGTCTATGGTCAGGTCACAGATGCTGATCGGTGCTGATCTAAGTACTTATTTTAACAAAACTGAAATGTTTTTAGATTTAAGCTTTTCAACATCAACGTAATTTATTTTCATCAAAGGGATGCAGGTTAACATCACATTATTCTTTAATTATTCTGTTTATTATTTTATTTTATCATCACTTCATTTTAGTTTTTTTTATTTACGAGGTTTCAATTCCTATTTATGAAAGAACCATATTTACAGTCTATGGAAAGAACAAGACATTTCTAAATGAATTATTTGTATTTGTTTCATCTAAATTCTGTTTTGGTTGATTAAGAAGTTTTTTCTACCCTCAGCACTTTATTATTTACAATTATTTATTTACAATAACAATTTAAGTTATTAGGATTTTTAAAATATTGGACTAAATGTTTATTCAATGTTTTGTCTCCTGCTAAAAGAACGGTTACCATGGCTACCACACTTAAACATGATACCTGCACTTTATTGAACCGGTTATCACCGCCCACTCGTGACGTCACAGAACACGTCACTGGCGCGTCCTGATGGAGAAATGAAGCGCAGCCTCGATCTTCAGTGACCTGGATTGAAGATCCGGATTCTGGTGTGTGGAGGCTCCGCTGCAGGTTCGTCATTTTATATGAAAACTATTTATATTTCATCTTTTGATCCCTGTCTGTGACGTCACCATTAATGGCTCCGGCATGATGCAGAAATAACGGAATTAATACGGTATCTAAATCACCATCAGATTTATAACAAGTCACATCTCCAAATGTAAACAGAATTAAACATCGTTAAATTACCGGATCAACAATCAACAGTTTTTATATACCGACATTTTATTCAGAATTTTATTTAATATGAAATTAAACATTAAAATAATCAGTACATCTGTGATCTCCTCCGCCCACATCGCACGCGCTGCTTCATCATGTTACATATTTAACACACTGCACGCGCTGTTTGATCATGTTTTATATAAACACACTGCACGCGCTGATTGATCATGTTTTATAAACACACTGCACGCGTTGCTTGATCATGTTTTATATAAAACACACTTAACGCGCAGATTGATCATGTTTTATAAACACACTGCACGCGCTGCTTGATCACACCGCACCCGCTGCTTCAAAAACACGTCACGTGAGGAGCGGCTCATTCTGACGCTTTGATCCAGATGGAGGCGGGTCAAGGAGGCCAGATCCTGGAGCACAGACTCGGACTGTGATCACCACACCTGCTGAAGGTGGAGGAGTAACACCTGTGAGGAACAGCCCCACCTTCATCCCTCCTCCTCCTCATGGAGGCTCCAGGTTAGAGGACCACAAGAGTCCTGAGCTCCAAACCGGAAGAGAACCTGAACCAGGCTCATGGTGAGTTGTTTTTATACCTTTATGACGTCAACATTTTTACTTACCTGTAACTCTCACCTGTGTGTCGGTATGTTTCGCTCGAAGAGGTCGTTTGAATAACATTCTACCTATTCTATGCCTTTCTTTGGTTAACCCTAATCCTTTTACAGAATAAAAAAAGTTTAAATAACGTTTTAAATATGTAGCAGAAATAAAAACTGTCAGTTATTTAAAAAAAAAAAATGCAGTTTAGATGAAACGTTCTGTCTGTGTTGGTCGTTCTGTGGTTATCTGTGTAGATCACTCTGTGGTTGCCTATGTCAATTGATCTGTGGTTTTTGTGTGTCGGCCACTCTGTGGTTGTCTTTTCGTCCTGGTTGTCTGTGTCGATCGCTCTGTGGTTGTCTGTGTCAATAGTTCTGTGGTTGTCTTGGTTGAATGTTCTGTGGTTGTCTGTGTCAGGTACTCTGTGGTTGTCTGTGTCGGTCACTCTGTAGTTGTCTGTGTCGGTCGCTCTGTGGTTGTCTTGGGTGAATGTTCTGTGGTTGTCTGTGTCAGGCACTCTGTGGTTGTCTGTGTCGGTCGCTCTGTGGTTGTCTTGGGTGAATGTTCTGCGGTTGTCTGTGTCAGGCACTCTGTGGTTGTCTGTGTCGGTCGCTCTGTGGTTGTCTTGGGTGAATGTTCTGCGGTTGTCTGTGTCAGGCACTCTGTGGTTGTCTGTGTCGGTCGCTCTGTGGTTGTCTTGGTGAATGTTCTGCGGTTGTCTGTGTCGGTCACTCTGCGGTTGTCTGTGTCGGTTGCTCTGTGGTTGTCTGTGTCAATACTTCTGTGGTTGTCTGTGTCGGTCACTCTGTGGTTGTCTGTGTCAATAGTTCTGCGGTTGTCTGTGTCGTTTGCTCTGTGGTTGTCTGTGTCGGCCGCTCTGTGGTTGTCTGTGTCAATAGTTCTGCGGTTGTCTGTGTCAGTTGCTCTGTGGTTGTCTGTGTCGGTCGCTCTGTGGTTGTCTGTGTCAATAGTTCTGTGGTTATCTGTGTCGGTCACTCTGTAGTTGTCTGTGTCGGTCGCTCTGTGGTTGTCTTGGGTGAATGTTCTGTGGTTGTCTGTGTCAGGCACTCTGTGGTTGTCTGTGTCGGTCGCTCTGTGGTTGTCTTGGGTGAATGTTCTGCGGTTGTCTGTGTCAGGCACTCTGTGGTTGTCTGTGTCGGTCGTTCTGTGGTTGTCTTGGGTGAATGTTCTGCGGTTGTCTGTGTCAGGCACTCTGTGGTTGTCTGTGTCGGTCGCTCTGTGGTTGTCTTGGGTGAATGTTCTGCGGTTGTCTGTGTCGGTCACTCTGCGGTTGTCTGTGTCGGTTGCTCTGTGGTTGTCTGTGTCAATACTTCTGTGGTTGTCTGTGTCGGTCACTCTGTGGTTGTCTGTGTCAATAGTTCTGCGGTTGTCTGTGTCGGTTTGCTCTGTGGTTGTCTGTGTCGGCCGCTCTGTGGTTGTCTGTGTCAATAGTTCTGCGGTTGTCTGTGTCAGTTGCTCTGTGGTTGTCTGTGTCGGTCGCTCTGTGGTTGTCTGTGTCAATAGTTCTGTGGTTATCTGTGTCAGTTGCTCTGTGGTTGTCTGTGTCGGTCGCTCTGTGGTTGTCTGTGTCAATAGTTCTGTGGTTGTCTTGGTTGAATGTTCTATGGTTGTCTGTGTCGGTTGCTCTGTGGTTGTCTGTGTCAATAGTTCTGTGGTTGTCTTGGTTGAATGTTCTATGGTTGTCTGTGTCGGTCGCTCTGTGGATGTCTGTGTCTAGTTCTGTGGTTGCCTTGGTTGAATGTTCTGTGGTTGTCTGTGTCGGTCGCTCTATGGTTGTCCGTTGATCGCTCTGTGGTTGTTCTAGTCAGTAGCTCTGTGGTTGTCTGTGTAGCTCTGTTGTTGTAGGTCGCTCTTTGGTTGTCTGTGTCAGTAGCTCTGTGTGCTTTGACTGTGAAAAAAATATTGCAGTAGAAGAAGAAAAATAAAAAGAATAAGCAGAGCGATGAAACGTCATCTAAGATAAATGTTCAGCTCACAGATCTGTACCGCTGTGTGTGGACGCCTGTATTTTTTCATTTTATGGGATCCACAGGATTTAATCAGTCATGCTCTGTGTAATAGTCGTGTTGTTCAGTGAAGCGAGAGGGGAGAGTGAGGATGCCGTCCTGCAGTGAGAGAGAGAGGAAGAGAGAGAGAGAGAAAAAGGAAGACATGACAGCATCTCTAAAACACACGAACACAAAGAAGAAGAGAGCTCACGCTGTCTAAAAGACGGGGTAAAAATACTCTGATTTCAATCTCCACAGAAAAACACTGAATGAGAGGAAAAAGAGGAGGGGAGAGAGGAAGAAAGACAGGAGGAGGAGAGTGGAGTAGGGAAATGAGGAGGAGAGAGAGGAGGAAAGACAGGAGGAGGAGAGTCGAGTAGGGAATGGAGGAGGAGATAGGAAAAAGAGAAAATGGGGACAAGGGGTGAGGAAGGTAACACACTATACTCCTATAATACTTATCAATACACTGAATGAATAACACACTACACTCCTATATTATTCTCACTTCATGAATTCATTGTGAGGAAGATGAGTGAGTCTGGATGTCCATACGTCCAGGTCTACACTCCCTCCCGCCCACTATGCTCTGCCAATGAAAGGCGTCTGATCCACCCTTCACAACAGGGTCCTAAGTCTCTAACTAGACTCTTCTCCTCTGTCGTCCCTCCAGTGGTGGAATGAACTTCCAAACTCCATTCGATCTGCAGAGTCCCTTTGCAGCTTTTAAGAAAAAGCTAAAGACCCAGCTCTTTCATGAATACCTACTAACTTAATGATCATGGTCTCAATATTATTGATGATGGTGATGGTAAATGATGATGGTTTGTTTGATAACGGCGACTTTTAAGATAGTTTCTATACTGATTAGAGCACTCAAGAACTGCCTTCAATCTTTGCCTCTGGTCACTTCCTGTCATCACTTCTGGTCACTTCCTGTCAGCACCTGTGTGTCCAATCGGACTCAAAGCTGATAGTTTACTCTTATTGACATTGTTTCCTTTTTTCTCTCTCCTTGCTTGTGTTGTACTTACTTCTCTGATCTACGTCGCTTTGGATTAAAGAGTCTGCTAAGTGAATTGTAGAATTTTAGAATTGAAGGAGGTTCTCGGCAATAAAGACTCAATAAAGACGTTTTTGTGGAATGCGGGGGAAATGAAACCTGCTGGGTAGAAGAAGGAGGCTCCAGGGGGCCCCTGAACCTGTAGACAGGCAGAAAAGTGGGAGGAGTTCAGGTGTGAGAAGTGGGAGGAGTTCAGGGAGGTTTTTCTTTTCAGGTGAATCAAGAGACAACTCAGGGTTTATTTATCCTGTTATTATCTCTTAGTTATTCTCTTTTATAATCTCTTATATTTCCTCTCCTGTTTTTAATCTCGTGTCTCTGCAGGATCTGAAGAGGGTTTTGTCGTTCCCGCCGTACCCCGGGGATTACCTCCATCCTGTGGTGTACGCCTGCACGGCCGTCATGCTGCTCTGTCTGCTCGTCTCCATCATGACATACATTGTCCACCACAGGTGAGAGTTCACTGCAGGTGAGAGAGCACAACATGTGAGACAGTTTACCACAGGTGAGACAGTTCACCACAGGTAAGACAGTCAGTGCTCCACAGGTGAGACAGTCAGTGCTCCACAGGTGAGACAGTACCACAGGTTACCACAGGTGAGACAGTTTACACAGGTGAGACAGTTTACCACAGGTGAGACAGTTTGCCACAGGTGAGACAGTTTACACAGGTGAGACAGTTTACACAGGTGAGACAGTTTACAACAGTGAGACAGTTTACCACAGGTGAGACAGTTTACCACAGGTGAGACAGTTTACACAGGTGAGACAGTTTACACAGGTGAGACAGTTTACACAGGTGAGACAGTTTGCCACAGGTGAGACAGTTTACAACAGGTGAGACAGTTTACAACAGGTGAGACAGTTTACCACAGGTGAGACAGTTTGCCACAGGTGAGACAGTCAGTGCTCCACAGGTGAGACAGTTTACCACAGGTGAGAGAATATTGATCTACCTGTCAGATTCAGCTTTATGCATATTATGTTTCCTCAACCTTGTTTTTAAATGTATCAAGAATCTGGCCCCTGAAACTCTTTCTAGATGCGTTCAAAGACAGGACGGAAACAGGGAAAGAAGAAGTACTGTGAGTGGAAACCACCTGAAATAAAATGAATCACAAACTTAAAATCGTAAACAAAAAAGGTGAAATGTTGAAAGCAAACCAGAGCTGTACCCACTTTTAAATAGTATCTTAGAACTTTATTTTAAACTGGTTTATAGAATTTGCATTGTTGTACATGTATTTAAATCCTCATATAGTGTTATGGGGTTTTATTTATCCGAATGTTTTACATTTTAAATCTCTTTGTTTACACAAAGGCCTAACTGGGGACATGAGATTGAAATTAGCAATAGCTATATACTCTTTATGCAGCACATCAGTTTCATGCTTTGTATTGAAATTCTGTTAAATTGCATAGACCCTATTAAATATAAATTCAAATTCAAAATTGAAGAGGTCTTTCTGGTTATCAGTTCAAACATAAACACTTTTTTGGTCTCTGGAATCAAAATCTAAAATTGTTAAAGCATCTCTAAGTTTATAAATGATATATCCGTGTTCAGGTTATAAATATGTTAAAAATGAACCTGATCATTAAAATCCTTTAAACTGCAGTTTGAATAAAATAATTGATATTCTTATTTCAGGTTCATTTAAAGCTTGTTATTTATAAACATATTTTGGCGCTGATGTTGTGACTTGTAACATTTTAATACAGCTTGATATTGAATTAAAATGTTTATGGTCATGATGCAGTCTGACACTTCCACATAACATCATTCATCATCCTATTATACAATACAAAATAATATCAGTGTATCATGTAGATGTTCAGGTGTTCTCTGGGTAACTTCTGTGGATGTTTACTTTGAGCTTCTTCAGGTCTGTGTTACTGAGTTAGAAACCTCACAGCAGCATGTCTACAGCAGCAAAGTGTTTGAAAATGAAATGTGAATTATTGAGTCTGAAGACATGTTGATGTCTGACACGTTAGTGAAGTTTGTCCTTTCAGAAGTGGGCCGGATGGAGGCTGTACCTGCTAACAGAAGCACGACTGCTAACAACACGACAATGTTATTGTTCTGTGACCTCGGCCGAAATAAATCCTGAGATAACCGACAGTCGCTCTCACAGTTTCAACATCAAATAATTAATAAATAACAACATAATATTAGTCATTAAAAAAGCCCTTGCCTTTTGATCTTTTTCTTCAGAGTGATTCGTATCAGCAGGAACGGCTGGCACACACTCCTCAACTTCCTGTTCCACACCGGCCTGACATTTGGAGTTTTTGCTGGAGGCATCAATCAGATCAACGCACCGCTCGTGTGTCAGATTGTGAGTCGTCCTTTTTTCTCTTTTCTCTGTGAATTCACAGCTCGGACTCTGCGCCACAAGACAAAAACACAAATCAACACACACACACACACACACACACACACACACACACACAACATACATATACACACACACACACACACACACACACAAATAGATACCCACAAGGTAAAAGTAAACACTGAACACTAATAAGCACACACTTTCATTTCATTGAATAATCTGTATTGATTCTGTGTGCCAGGTCGGCATCGTGCTGCATTATGCTTCTCTGTCCACCATGATGTGGCTCACATTCACTGCCAGAAACATCTGCAAAGATATCTCCAAAGACCCCCTCCACATTCCTGACCGCAACGGACCGGCCCATACCAAGGCAAAGCCAACCGTCCTCAGGTGAGCCAGTCAGCAAGTGAGTTAGACAGCAGGTGAGTAAGTGAGCAAGTGTGTTAGACAGCAGGTGAGTTAGTCAGCAGGTGAGTAAGTGAGCAGGTAAGTTAGTCAGCAGGTGAACCATTCAGCAGGTGAGAGACCTTAAATCTTGCAACTTGAATAGAATAAGTTTTATATTATAGATATCATCCATCCTTTCACAGAACAAAGGAAATACTTATTAAACAAAAAATATAGAATCATCTGTAAATAAAGGATCATGATGATGTTTACAATGAGGTCATCAGCATATGGTAAATAGATCAAACATAAAAAACAATAAGTCAGATGAGTTGACCTTCAGTGACTGTATGAACCTGTAAACAACAGGACTAAAGGTGAGTAAGGTCAACAGAAAGAATCATTTCATCAGGCTCTCCTACTCTGGTGTGTGGTTTCATTTGCCACATCCTTCTGTTAAATCCAACTATGTGACTCTATGATTTTTCTGCAGGTTTTATCTGGTCAGTGATGGAGTCCCGCTCATCATTGTCGGAGTCACAGCAGCGTTTGGTTTAGAAAACTATGGCAGCAGAGAAGATGCTCTGTAGTGAGTACTCAGTATTTCTTAAGGTTTTACAAAATGTTTCATGAAGATCATATAAGCTGACGCATCTGTTTGTCTCTTTTAGCTGCTGGATGGCGTGGGAGCCCAGTCTGGGAGGTTTTTACGCCCCCGTAGGTCTCCTGGTCTTTGTCATGTCCGTGTACTTCCTTTGCACCTTCATCCAGATCAAACGCCACCCAGAGAGAAAATACGAGCTGCGAGTTCTGAGCGAGGAGCAGCAGCAGCTCTCATCCAGCGAGTCCAACCATAACTGCCACATCGACACCGGGGCAGCTGCTGGGTCTGCCACAGACTGTCCTACATTTGCCACAGGTGTGTCCGTTCTAGCCAATGAGCACTCATTTACATCTCAGCTGCGAGCCACGGCCTTCACCCTCTTCCTGTTCATGGCCACCTGGGCTCTGGGAGCTCTGGCGGTGACTCTGGGACACTTCCTGGACATGATCTTCAGCTGTTTGTATGGAGCTTTCTGTGTGACTATGGGACTCTTCCTTCTCATCCAGCACTGTGCCAAACGGGACGACGTGTGGCATCGCTGGTGGGCCTGCTGTCCAACAAAGTCCAAGACTGAGGAGGTGAGTGTGGACAGACAAAACCATCTGCAGGAAGTCCACCAGCCTCACTGCCACCTGAGCTCCCCATGCTCAGGAAAACAGCCACTCCTCTCCCCTCACCTCCTCCAAAGCTCATACAAGATGTCCCCGCCTCCACAAAGCCCAACAGCCAATCAGACGGGTCCCTACTGTGTGTCTGTGCTGGGTCCTGTTAGTCCCACCCTCATGTCTCCTCTCCCTGAGCCCATTTCTTTACCCCGTCCACAGTCTCTCTCTGATGAGCTTCCCCGCCCTGTACTGCCTCTCCAGAGCTGCCTTAGCAACAGAGCAAAGTCCCGCTCCTTCAACAGGCCACGCCCCCACCTGCAGGACTACCGCTCCCACATGACATCCACCAGTATGGATGGGAGTGGGCACAGTTCTCACCTGGACAGCCCTCATGCTGTGCCTCACCTGGACAGCTCATCTCCTGTTCCCAGTAGCCCACATCCAGACTTCCAGCTGCCTTGTCCAAGTCCTCACATGGACAAGCAGCTTGCTTCCTGCCACAGCTTACAACGCCAGACCTCGAGCCACAGCGTGCACGACTCACTTGCTTCCTGTCACAGCCACGCCCACAACATGCATGATAGCGTCACTTCCTGTCACAGCCTCCTCCTGCCTTCTCATGGGATCCACTCGTGTCAGTGGCACCTGTACAGCTCAGCGGATCACTCCTCCTCCACCAGCTGCTGTGAGAAACCTGAAGCCTTCACCTTGGAGTACCAGCAGGACTCGGACATGTTCCCGTCAAACACAGGTGACAAAGAAAAAGATAGTCTGAGCGTCGAGCCAGAGCACAAAGGTTTTCCACGTAACACTCTGCCCCGACAGCACGGTGCTGTCAGCCGGCGAGGAACCATCGGCCGAAACCGGAGCCTGCAGGAAGACGGCCTGTTTGGTTCAGACTCGACAGGAAACATCCGGACTGGTCCCTGGAAAAACGAAACCACTGTATAGTTCTCATATAGGTTTACCTGCCAGACCTACAGCCTGTGATCCAGTCAATCCATGAGTGTTCGGGTCTCCATGCCTTTAAATTTGTCCTTAAACCACAGGTGGAGTTCTCTGTGAGGCCTCTTTTCCCTTTATGATGAAGTTCTAAGTGTGTTTCTTGTTTCTTACAGATCCTAAACTGAAGGTTCTGTTGGGTAAGGGTTGAATAATACTGTCAAAGTGTAATCAGGAGTGTGTGGCTCTCTAGTAGTCAGCAGCGTTATAGAAAGGTCTGTTTGAACTATCAGGGTGCTTCATGAGTTTGTGTCTTTGTTAAGCATATCTTCTCAGGTTCAGCTTTACCATCAAGGACATTCAAAACTGTGGACCTAAACTAAGTAGAAACAGAACCCAACTCAATGTTTGTACATTTTTTATATGAAGAGGATCTGAGATGAGCAGAGACTGGACGATTAGCAGAACAATCTGAATCACAAAAGAAGAGCCCAAAAGAAAGTCCAAACTAAAAGTCAGCAGGTCGATTGACAGGCTGAGCTCATCAGTTTTAGATTCCTCATTTATTTTGATTTGACCTCAAGCGTTATGGTCACTTGCCTGTCTCTGTTGGGTTCTGTTGATCTAAATTGATATTACTGGAACATGTTTGAACTCATGGCTCATAAAGGCGTCAGTGAGCAAGCTGTGAGCTGCAGATCTTTACTCTAGATTTATAATATAGTCAGTAGCTGTGCTGTCAATTCTGTTTGATTAACATGAATCCTCCACCACCTTTTAAATGAGCTGACTGTGTTCATGCTTTAAGAACAAACCTAATGTTTGCAGGACGTTTAAACTTTGTGTGATGAAGCTGTTAGCTTAAGCTGAAGATAGGGCATTAATCATAAACATGATGTTAGCTTAACCTGATAACAGATGATGACGAGGAAGAAGACGATCAGGCATTAATCATCAACATGATGAAGATGATCATTAATCATCAACATGATGATTTACAGTTTTATGCAAAGAGTCAGTGAGGTATGATAGAAAGATGGATGGATGATTGATGGATTGATGGATGGATGGATGGAAGCATTGATTGATAGATGGATGGATTAATTGATTGATGGATGGAAGGATTGATTGATTGATGGATGGATGGATGGATTGCACATTTAGTTATTGAGATCGTGGATTTTAAAGGATCTTTATTTGTTAATGTGGTGATTCTTCACGTTATTATTGACTAATGAGCGGTGACACATGTGGAAACATTTTGAGCATGTGTGTTCTTTATGTGTGCTACAGTGCATGAGTAGGTTCATTGAGACGTGGTGTGTTTGTGTTACATGTTATTATTATGGACCCGCCCCTTTTATAAATATGAAGTAGTTTAAGGAATATTTTTATGGAGACACTTTGCTGCCAAAAAAAACTCTTGTCAACAAATGTTGCACTTATATGAACTGAAGTTATCATCTCCTGCTGAGATAATATTTATTTTAAAAAAGTGCTTTAAGCACAAACTTTGTGCCAAAATGACGTGCCAGCTTTCACTGTGAGAGAAAATACACAACACTCACTACACACAGTTTGTGTTATCGCACAAACTGGAACTCAGGTTTAAAATGATCATCAGCAACATTTCAAATCATTTCACAAACTTCCATATTTAAACCAGAGCGTGGTTTCATGACACAAGCTTTCTGTTTAAACCACGCCTACTTCTGACTAAAACTAGTTTAAACCAGGTTAAGATAGTTTAAACCAGGTTAACATAGTTTAAACCAGACTCAAACTAGTTTAAACTAGGTTAAGATAGTTTAAACCAGGCTTATCTAGTTTAAACTAGGTTAAGATAGTTTAAACCAGGCTTATCTAGTTTAAACTAGGTTAAGATAGTTTAAACCAGGCTTATCTAGTTTAAACTAGGTTTACACAGTTTAAACCAGGCTTAACTGGTTTAAAGCAGGTTAAAAGTAGGTTAAACCAGGCTTATGTAAGTTAGAGCCAGACTTGCTTACTGGAGTGGGAAGAGTGGGGGGGTCACTCATCATGTTTATGTCCCCGGTCCAGAGCAACCCCCCCAATTACAAACAGTAAATCAGTAAAAACACCAAGTCCTGCAGCGGGCGTGGCTTCTGGTGGTGATGAGCCCAGGAGGAGGAGCCACATGACGAACCTTTCTAGTGACTCCACCTTCAAAGTCAAGATTAATCCTGGTTCTTTTTTCTGTGGTCAGTCAAGCTGCTTGATTCTGGTTCGTCTGGTTCATTCAGCCATCGAACATTTATGTCCTCATCACCATTTATTTAGCATTTTTATTTCAACCCGTTATGAAAAGTGTGAACAAAATCTTTTCATTAACACTTTATAAAAACTTAAAGTTGATTTATTTTGTATTTTAACTTCATTAAATTTTTCTAAATGTTCAATACTTTGATACCACATATTTTAAGACGACACAATCTCTGATCTCTCTGATATGAATATCTCTGATATCTATATAATATATATCTATATTTATATATATTATATCTGATATCTATAATATATCTGATATCTAATATATATCTATATAATAAATCTGATATCTCTGATATTTAAATGACGGGTAGAATCAAAGAGTCCTGAAGCTTGAAATCATCTTTGTCATCAGACAGGTGTGAAGAATAATCTCCTGTGATCGGAGGTTTCTGGACCAGGTGATTCCAATGAGCAGAGGTTCAGAATACTGAGGACATTATTTCTGTTGCATTGATGTCATTTGATTTGAATCTGAATCCTATCAAAGTGTGATATCGTGACAACCTTTATTGTAAACTTTGATATTTGACCTTTTTTAACCTTTTAATTCACAGCTGTGACATTAACGTCCACTCACTCGTCACGTTCACTCTTTCACTCTGTTGGCGTCTCTCAGGGTGATAATCTGAGGTCAGCTGATGTGATGTCTGTGGTCATGTGACGTGTTGTTGTGTCTTCCTTTGTTGGGGGGGAGGGGGGAGGGTAACCAAACATGAAAACATCCAATGTGACATTTTGTGTTTCTCACCTCCAGAGGAGACACCTGTGAGCACCACGTGTTGTCTGCACTCTGAATAAAGACAAACTGTTAAAGTCCACTCGCTGTCCTCTGATCATTGAAAGGTCATTCTCCACTGCAGAACCTGAAATGGATGGTAACTTGTTATTTTCTAGTCTTCTAGACCCGACCAGTTCTAGACCGGTAGGTCTGAAACGTTGCTATTCCCAGGACCCCCGCGCAGCAGGGACCCCCCTTCTTACCAAATGTCTCAAATGCCTTTCAACAATAGATTACACACACAATACACACAATTTAAAAATAAAGTCATAATGGTTATATAGTGACCACGTTCAGGAACGTTCATCTGACCACGCTAATCAGACCACGTTAATCTGACCACGATCAGAAAGAGGCAGGGACGTTAATCTGACCACGATTAGATTGATGCATTAACGCACACAGGCCTGCTCAGTCATCCTGGGGGCCCGTGTGGTCCTGACATCCAGGTGTAGCCCTCTAACAGGTGAGAGTATCATCTCTGCCTGATAAAACTCAATCTGAAGAATCTCATGGAGAGCAGAGGCAACTCAAACTCTGAATCCTCTACAGGAGCAAATGGATGAGAAGGGTAATGCATACAAGAGGTTTTGGGGCCACAAACAGGGCTGCCCCACCTGGGGAGAAAAACAGAGAGCAGTGTGTTGACCTGGGGGGGGAATAGATCTGTGTCTCCAAAGCCTTCTCTGCCTCCACCTCTGGATGAGGGCCTCTGGACGGGCTCTCTGCATCCTGATTATCCGCCCTGGCACATGTACGTCTCTGATATAACAGGAGACATTGAAAGCTTCACACCCACAGATCATGCACCAGTCAGTTAAGGTGTGGGAAGCCAAGGCTACCCTTCCTGTTAATGTGAGCTATCGGGTCTGTGTCTGACACCAGTTACTGACGGATCTATCAGGACCAATGCTGCCATCAGCCTCAAGGTCTCCAGTTGATCAACGGCTTTAGGTAGAAATGTGCCAGACAGGTTCTGAAAGCCTCTAACCTCTACTGCGTAAGGGACAACCCGGCCACCAGGGGTCTTAAGTTATGACCAGAAACTGCAGACTCAACATGGCACTCGTCTGCTTTTCTCCTGGTTGAGGTAAAGGACCTATCCCTGAATGTGCACCTTGGTTCCTAGGGTTAGGGTTAAAAGCTTACAAATTAGCTTGTTTTTAGTCCAACTGGGAATCACTCAGCGGTCCATCTGATCGACTTGTTGGGCACCGTTGGCTGAGACCTACTGCTCAGAGGGTAGGGGGTTAGGGTAGGTAAAGTACAAATCTCAAAAATCAGACACACACCTGAGACATGTGTCAATGAGTGACACACATGTAAGTGTACAATGATCCACAGTGACTGTCAGGTAGGGACATTCCCCATATATATGCTAAGATTGATTAACCCTGACCCTAACCATTGTTGGATTAGAGTATATTATGTGATTTTCCCTCAGAATGTAATGTCAGGGCGCGGTCACACTGGCAATCCGTACCATACTGAAGCACGATTGCCCCACTCTTCCCCTGCTGGCCTTCACAGCCTGCAGTCACACTGCTTCAGGACTAACCGGGCCACATCAGAGAACAACACAGAGAAAATGACAGCTACTTTACTGACTATGAGGCTTATTTTGAGTCATTTCAATCAGATACAGTCAATAAATACATTTAAAAATAAATGTGTCTTTGCTTTGAGTCATGTTAGTCAGATACAGACTGAACACTCTGGATTTCTTTATAATGAAGGCTGTCAGCGGTATGTACCCGCATGCTTGTGCACGTGCATGAAGTGTACCGTAATGAAGAACACCTCTGGTTTCTGTGACTTCCTGTGTGACTGCCTTTGTCTTTAACCATCCTGTCACATGGTCCCATGGTTATCACTGTCCTTGGCAGTCAAACATAGAGTGGGCGGGGTTTATCTAAGAAAAGCCAATGACAGGATGACAATGCTTATTATTGAAGCTTCCTGTTCTGCAGTTGAGCTGATGTCCCTAACATGATGTGTTTCATGTGTGATAAAAAAAAACATTTTTATATAATAAATATTAATCGGTTTCCCTCCCCCACACCTCAGTGACACAGCCTGTGTGCACACAGAGACTTCATGTTATATATGAAACATGCATCACAAGATAAATGTTCAGTTAGCTCTGAGTTTGTGTCTCAGCCCCGCTGACTGTGATGGATCCCCCCCCCCACACACACACACACACACACACACACACACACTGACCGAACTCTCCTCCTCTTCCTCTGCCTCTGGCCTGAACCACTTCAGCAGCACACGAGTCAGAAAAATTATGCAGACGTCCCTGATGTGAACATGACCTATTTTTATTTAAAAACCAGAGAAGCCTGCAGAGAGAGAGAGAGAGAGAGAGAGAGGGAGAGAGAGAGACAGAGACAGAGAGGGGGAGAGAAAGAGAGAGAGACAGAGAGAGAGAGAGAGATGAGAGAGTAGAGAGAGTGAGAGGGAGAGAGACAGAGAGGGGGAGAGAAAGAGAGGGAGAGAGAGGGAGAGAGAGAGACAGAGAGAGAGAGAAAGAGAGAGAGAGAGAGTGAGAGAGAGAGAGGGAGAGAGAGAGAGAGAGAGGAAGAGAGAGAAAGAGAGAGAGACTGTTTCTATCCTACATCCAACTATTATAATATTCATCTTTATATTTTAGAACATAAACAAACACACCTTTAATGTCCGATTTAAGATCCTGGAAACCTTCCTGTTATCCACTCAGTTCCAGAAGAGGGTCTTAAAACTCAAAAACTGTAAAGATCCCAGTAAACCAAATAAAATATAAAAACATAAACAATGACGGATTACAAAAATCAACAAAAAGAGGAAAAACGATGTCCAAATAATGGACCTCACCGGTCCTGGACTTTAGCTTTCTTAACCCTTCACTGCTGTTTTTTATTGAGCTTTGCTACAATAAGACCATTTCATGATCTTTCAAAAACTGTTTTTCTCCAGTTTACAGTCGGTCGTCCGTTGAGGGTTTTCAAAGTTCCTGTACCAACTTTTAAAA